GAGTCCAAGTATAAAAAATCTCAACTGGCCAATCTACTTATTTTTATTATGAAAATGAATGAGTGGAAATGATCCGACAATGTGAAAATATCACGATATTAACGGGAAGTTTTTATTTTAAATTGCTGTAGCGTATAAAGTGGATAAATGATGCATTTACGTTAGAAAAGCCACGTCTTTAACGTTTAGTTCCAATGACGCGCAATTCTATACCCTAGCAGATCCTCTTTGTGTGCATAATAGAACGACACGTGATTATCTATAATTATTCCTTGTTAGGTCAGTCTTTTTAGTGCTTCTTGCTTGTATTCTATATTGCTCATATGCGCATCAGTTGCAATTAGAACAGTGGCGTAGCATGTCTAGATGGAGCCCTATATCAAAAAATTGATCTTTCCTTCATTTAGTCCAGGATCCCATCTAAGAACATGCCTGTATCGGAATAAGACAGGACAAAGTGCCATCTATTACCAGAACTGACACCACTGGCAGAGCGAAAGCAGCATGCTGTCTGTTGTAACTGCTTCCCATCCCAGTACGCATTGTTAGCAGGGGCACCACTGTGGCTGCTAGATGCCGCCCATTCTGGCGCGATTTATGTTGTCGGTTATGACAATCGAATGAAACTTTACCTACGACCATTGCAAAACTGAGAAGCTTTAAAGCAGAAAATGGATCGCTTTAGACCGCCCGTTTACATAGTCAAGTTGACATCGGATTCGATGTCTACACAACCAAAATGCCAAGGACGCAAAAGATTTGTAGTTTTTGAAAATCGGTCCAGTGGTGGCAGAGAAAACGTTTTTTTTGTTTCAGAGGATCTTGATCATTTTTGAATAAAATTGAGAGGAGAAGAAAACTTGGTGGTGGGGATTTTAAGTCGGCAGGGATGGTTTATGACAATTTTTTAATGATGGTACATTTATACGCTCCCAATTAGATATATTTCATACATAATAGATTTCGCTGTACATTAGCTCTGAAAACTATTTTGAGCAGTCGGAATGCGTACCTATCGACAGCGGCTGCTGCAGTCGTCGTGTGCCGACCATGATCAGTCTTCTGGTATGGAATCACATGTATTTCTGCTCTTCAACAGCATAGTGTTTTCTATGCTCTGACCGCGCTGCCACGTCTTCCGAGTCACGTATCCAGATGCACTACCGGTAGGGCACTGAAATAATGTCTATGGACTAATTGTATGTACCCGTTTGACTGACTTTTTCTTAGAGTGTCTAGTTTGTGCTGAACATGTTCCTTTATATACTGATAACGGCGTTGCGTGGGAAGTACACCTACTTGACGCCATTTTGTTGCTTTTCATGTTAGGACCAATTTTAGTGATTTTGTAACGGCTTTTTGATGTACGTTGATTGTACTATATTTAGATGCACACTGTGGATGTATCATAATATTGATTTTTTACAGGAAATGAGGGAAATACACAGACAACTCGATCATGATCTGACCTTAAGGGAGTTCTTGAGCGTAAAAGGACAGAAGCGTATTCTCAAAGATCTGGAAGAAAAAGAGCGAATACGCTTGGAAGACGAAGCCGAAAGCTTAGAAAACCAACTCCTTGTCTATGAAAAGACTTTGGAGCAAATTCAGGTGTTGATTTATTTGCTTATGCTTCAAATTTACCAGCGTCATTCCTTATTATTTATATGCAGCAATTATATACGATTTTTCACTGGAGTTTTTAAGCTAATGGAAATAACTTAAACGGTTAAGTTATGAGGTCGTGCAGGCAATGAGATTCTCCTCGACCTCTGCTCCGTAAGTTTCTGCTAAAAATTCGCAAGCAATCACAATGAGTTTCCTTGTTGTTATTGAACGACAAATGACGATGGTGCATTTGAAAAAAGCTCGGTAGTGGTCTACGGGTATAATGGTGAGATTGTAGTCCCACATCGTATAGCTTGAGGTACATACATATTCTGAATTTGATTCAGCCTACATATTTGAAACGGATCGGTTTTTCGAAAATCATCAATGGAAAAAATAGGCGTTGAATATCTCAAAGAAAATTGTTTATCCAGCACGAGGCATCATTGATTATTAATACAACCTATATATATATTTATATGCACTGACAATGAAGCTGATTTTTTAGCAATTCATAGATGAGAAAAGTGTTGATAGGATCGCTTCTCAGTATCTGAAGCAGGAGGAAGAAAATTTTGCTCTATTCAACTATGTGAACGAGCTAAATCATGAAATCGAGCTACTGAATGCCTGCATATTGGAAATGCAAGAACAAATTGGTAGGTCTTCAAGAAAATGTGTAATCAAATTGTGGTTATAGAATCTCTGAACGTTCAAAGTAAATGTATCTTGAGATTTATAGATTTCTGAATTATTGCAGATGAACAAATTGAAATGAGTAGCATTAGAGCCAAAGAACGTCAAGCAACGTTGAAATCGCTTAAGCTCGACCTCGAAGCAGCTGAAAAAAAGGTACTAGTTTCATTAGGGTGTATGCATAATTCATGCAGTCGTAAACTTTCAAATGAAAATAAAAACAAAACATTGCGACGATTGCGTAGATTTCGAATCACATTTTCTATCTCTCTTTTTCGTGGTGCATCAAGACGCTATGTTTTATACAGGACGTCCCAGAATAGCATGTCCATCTCCTTGTATACATATATTACATAAAAAGTAATGCCGCAATTTATTATAAAAATTCCCTATACGGAGAAACTCACCCTTAAAGTATGCTATTGAACGGTTTTTCTCAAATAACTTTTTAGCGACAAAGAATAATTCAACAAAAGTTTGATAGCTTACACGATGGTGGCCGTGGAGATAATTAACTCATTTAGAACACCATGGACGGATTAGCCCTACCGTGTTTTTTACACCCTGTATAATGGTCCAAAAATAACATTTTTGGAGAGTCCAATGCTTTAGCTGAGAAAAAATATACTTCTTTGATTTCAGCAAAATGAAGCCACTTCCCAAACAATGTGACATCTAAAACTTGAGCAAGGTCTGAAAATATTCGGGTAGCTAATGAAGATTCCGTTATCGGAATTGCCAAACAAATATTTCTAATATGCCGTAACCAGTATTCTGGATCTAGTGCTAAAATTAACTACTGAAACAAGGGTGTTCTTTTCAAAAAACGGTCGATAAAAATTACCCAATACTAATGAAAATTTATAGTCGATAGCCCCCTTGCCTGGACAATAAAAATAACGTGCATTTGAAATTCTTCTTTAGTGTAAACATTTCAATCACAAAGACGATCTTCTTCAGTACAATGACATTCACTAGAGAACCAAATTTGTCTAACGGCTTGAGTTCAATGTGTACGAGAGAGATATGTTAGAAAGCGATAGAAGCCGACTGGATAGCGAAGCTCACCACCGCGTTGCCCAGCAACCCTGACGCGGCAATCTGTCGCATTGCCAAAATATTACACCAGTTCCTTGAATTAAGTTTCATGTTGAAAATATATTAGTTTATTCTTCACGTCCAAATAATAATTTTGTTTTGAGCGTACGCATTTTTGAATTGTGTCGGATTTAAGGATCGATTCCGGAAGGTCAGGATCGCCTCAAATTCTGCAACATTGCATCATTGATTCGCTTGGCAACATCACATCTCGTACATTCCAAGGCAAGGTTTCTATCTCTATGATCAGAGTTGAGCGATTTTGCTCAGTACTCATCTAGCGCTGCTTCGAAATGGTTAATAATTGTTTGGCTTCTATCTCTTTCCTACATGTGTTGACTTTTCGCGTTCTCTCTCATACACATTGAACTCAAGCGGTCAGATAAATTTGGTTTTCCCTGTATATGACAAATATATAACTTCATTCATTTTAGGCAAATGAAGATAAAGAAAATCTGGAAAAGGCTAAAGAAGAGTTGCACGCAGTTCTGGATGGAATTGAAGAAGTATTTTATATAGCCAGCTGTGACAGAGGTCCCATTTTAGATTTACTAGGTGATTACTATCTTGCTATTACCATGCGATTTCACGTAACTTTATACATTATTTGTCACAGGGAATAGCTCTGACATTAATTTGTTCAACGTGAAGATATACTTGGGAACGATAGAGAAGAAAATATCCAGTATAGTGACGAAATTATATTTTGCTGAAAAAGCTGTGAGTACTTGTGCTCAACTGAAGGATATGTCCATGTTAAACCTACCCTGTACTTACAGATTCTGAAACATTCTAAAAAGTTTTCCAGCAAGGAAGAGCCCGTCACACCAATTCAATGAAAGATGAGCTGTGAACGTCAAAAGTGTAGTAGGCCATCACTTATTAGTACAATTGGAACACTTCGAAAATATTATATTTTTTTACCTTTCAGAGCATTTTGGTATATACAAAGGACAAAGCGTACTATAACAGTTTTGCAATACAGTTTTATTTATTGACATATTGTAACTTCATTTTCACATGCGGAAACAGAACAAAGTCGCAGGGTGCAAGATCTGGTCTGTAAGGAGGGTGCTCAATAAGTTTCAGTCCAGTAGTGGTCAAAAACTTGGTGCAGGCTTTAGCGGTGAGCTAGAGTGTTGTCATGGTGGAGCTACCAAGTGTCCATTCTTGACTTTGGCCGCAGGTTTCTCATAGACTCTATGACTTTAGGCAGGCACTGTTCCGTGTACCACTTAGCTGTGATTGTCTTTTGTGGGTCCAAAACGACCCGCTCCACAACCCCGCTCGATTTGAAAAACACAGCTATCATTTCTTTTTAATAGATCGGGATTTTCTGACAGCTAAGGGTGTGTTTTCATCATCAAAGACCCAAACTTTGTTTTGACCCATGGTCGGCACATCGTAATAATAGAGCCAAGGCTCGTCACCTGCCACGATGCTGTTCACATAGCCTTATCAAACATTTTCAGCATCTTTCGGCACCAAGTCTTCTGCTCTTCCGCCAGACTATACGGTACCCAGAGAGAACAAAGTTTCCTTACGTGTAAATGGTCATGCATTATTGAATGAACGGCTGGTGCATGAAGGTGTAAGGTCTCCTCTATCTGTTGGTATGTCACTCTCCGGTCTTCGTCAAGCGTTTTCCTCACAGCGGTAACGTTTTCCTCTGTTAGTGACGTTCGCGGCCTTCCTTCCCTCTCAGCGTCCTCCAGAGTGAAATTGCCCCTTTGGGATTCTTTGTACCACCTGAATATGGTCGTACGATGAGGACAATCATTCTTTAATGCAAGCGTCATTTCTTCTCAGCACTGGTCTAAGGTTGAACCACGCGTAAACTTATACTGTAAAAATGCACTCAAGGACATGTCTCAACATGCAGGCTTCTGTGTCCGTTTGTTAAGTCATATTGCAACGCTTTTATAGTACGCTTGTATGTTTCTGTTCCAAATCCCTGAGATAGGGTCAAAAATATACATTTGATACAAACGCAGGGAAATCAAACACAATACTATATCCACCAGTTTTTCTTGTCGCATGATCAAAGTTACAGAAAGTAAGGACAATATAAAAGCATACCTAAAAAACTAATTCACATACATGTCAACTAAATTCGAAAGAACGATAAGTAATCTGCTGTACTTAGGTAAAAGGCAGTAAGTTTAGTGTTTGCCTTTTTTAAATATTGACACCAATACATTCCTTTTATGATTACAGTTACAAAATGTATCGTTAATTACGTTATTTAACAAGAATAGTTAGATTTTGCTTTGTCAAATATTTCATAGCCACTACATTTCCTAAGCATACAAGTAGTAAATCAATTTACCAAAGCAAAAAAGCAGTAGTCTTCAAACTATACTGCTTTTATTCTCTGTATGATACAAGTACTGTCTTTTTACTCTTTTATAACCTATTATAATGTTTACTTATTTAGTTTTTTATGTAATAATTCGATTATATGTGAATAAGTATTTATCATTATAAATAATTACACTTACTATGAAAGAATAATTTTTGAAAATTTCTTTATTTAACTTGACATATTAGAATGTTTATTTATTTATATTTATATGTATAATTATCTTTGTTGGATGTGATTATTAAATGTAATCATATAATTATTATGATGAATGATTAGATGTTGAAAAGAGTTTGCTTTTGTGCTATTTATGAGAATTTAAATATGAATAAATTATATGAAAACAATATAAAATTGCATTTCTGCATTATTCCTTTGAACAAATAATACAAGTGCATTGTGAAAAACACAAAAAAGGCCAGTGAAGTATAAAAGCACTTAATGCTGTTTGATTTACAATTAATGCCGGAATGTAATTTATTTTAGACCTCAACAACAATTATGATCCGAAATCACATTTAAATGACTGTCTATAAAGTCATGTAACTATTCACTCATTCTTTTTGTTCAGTCGTAATAATACTATTCATTTAAAAAATCCAGAATTCCAGAATTTTCAACTCAATATTCTCAGACTTTCACACTCTACCTAAGTACGGCAGTAATGCCCATCAATAATCGCAATGATATCAGTCAACCTGCTTTATACAGTCTGCTAACCAATTCTACATTTCTGGGACCGCACAGGTAACTGAAATACATGTACACACAGAATAGACACAAATATAGTGTTGTAAAACTAACTAAAAAAATGTTACATTCTAGCATACACCAACCAAATTTGTCTGACGGCTCGAGTTCAATATGTAGGGGAGACAAGTGTGTATAGAAACATATGTTAGAAAGAGATCATCCCTAGCAACGCTGACCTGGCAATCTACCGCGTTACCAATATGTTACACCAATTCCTTGAATTAAGATGAATCTTGAAAATAAGCGTTAGTTTATTTTGAGCGTACACATTTTTTAATTGTGTCCAATCTGTTTACGATCGATTCCGGTTCAACACAGAAATTCTGCAGTATTGCATTATCGGTTCGATTGGTACCGCATCTCGTCCAATCCAAGGCAAGGTTTCCACCTCCATGACCATAGATGAGCGAAATGGTTTTCACCTGAGTAAACGTAGGCAGTGATAATTTGTATTATAAAGGTTTTTCAATAGCTATGTCCGAAATCTGGCAACATCTTGCTCTGACGATTCAGGTGGCAGTTCCTGTAAGACGCAGAAACGCGCGGTCAAGTTTAGCTGAAAACCCAAACCTTTCGATTTCGCGTCGTGTACAAGCAATTGGCCTTTCTGCGAACTGGCGCCCCAAGACCACCAAGCGCGTCGTACTTTCGCTGATTGGGCTCTGAAATAGTTTGGGAGCGGATGAAAATTTTGTCAAAAGAATCATTTTCAGTGATGAGGCACATTTTTGGTTAAACGGCATCGTGAATAAACAAAATTGTCGCATTTGGGGAGACAGTAATCCACAACAGTATCAAGAGTCTCGATTGCATCCGAAAAATCTTACTGTTTGGTGTGGGTTTTGGTCAGGCGGCGTCATTGGACCGTACATCTTCCGAAACGAGAATGGCGAGACGGTGACTGTCAACGACGCCCGGTATCGGACCATGATAAGTGACTTTTTATAGTCTCAATTGGATGATATGGACCAGAACGACATGTGGTTCCACAAGACGGCGCAACGTGTCAAACATCGGCCATTACATTGCAGTTGTTGCAAGAAAAATGTCCAGTACACGTTACTTCCAGAAGATTCGATGTGGAATGGCCGCCAAGTTCGTGCGACTTAAGGCCCTTAAACTTTTTTCTCTGGGGTTACGTTAAGACGCTGGTTTATGACAACAAACTAACAACAATTCACCAACTAGAGAACAACATCATTCAAACCATTGGTGAGATCCAGTCCGACTTATGCAGCAGAAATTCACACAATTGGACCTCTCGGATCGAGTCCTGTAAACGAAGCCTCGGAGGCCATTTGAATGATGTAATTTTTACATTTTTTTTAATGATGTAAAATGTAACAAAAACTCAAGACATGTCGATTTTATCACCATCGGTGAAAATCAAATATGATTCTAAAATAAATTAAAACACCAAGACGCATTAAAATTGAAATAAATAATTCTAATCTAAATGAAAACCTAATATTGAATTAAATGTTCCAACTGACCTCCTTTTTGGGTTAGACAGTTACCTAACCTATTGTAGAAGCATATGTTTACATTTTCTGGTGGAACATATTGGCAACACGGCAGATCGCACGACTTTCTGCGTGACCGTCGCTAGGCAACGTGGTGTTGACTTTCGTTCTTCAGCCGGCCTTTCTAACCTGTGTTGATATACACTTCTCGCGCTTCTCTCTCGTACGCGTTGAACTCAAGCCGTCAGACAAATTTGGTTTTCACTGTATAGTACCGCGAAGTATCAAATAAATAAACATTTTTGATTTATAAACCAAGCACGCGAATAATGAATTATAACTACTGAAGATTCACTGCCACAATTACAATCACACTTTTCGTACAGAATCATCACCCATCTCTAGCCTCCCTAGAATCCAGTTGCTCTTTGAAATTCACACATTTAACATGGCTTTGTGAACAATATTTTTAAGATTTGATCCACCCTCCAGGGAAAATTTCATTCTCTCTGCTATTCAAAAACTGTCACAAAATACGAAAAGCTTCCACTTGCTGATGTTTAAATGGACCCCTAGAGAACATTCCTGCAGGCGCCAATGTATAGGACATGACTCTCATACACACAGGGAAAAGATTTTTTAAGAATAACATTCACTCAGAAATAGTAAGATTCTATATGGTTATTCCATGATTACGACGCTAGAGACTGAAGATTTGGCTTGGAATCTTGCACAGATATTCAAAATTTTATAAAGTACGTGTACCAGCAATTGTCAAAAATGTTAATATTCAATTTAACCATCCTTCTTTACAACACTATGTATCAAACCTCAACTAACACTTAATTTTTTTTCATCAAAACTATCCTTATGCTAACTTAAAGAACTGGAACTATTTTTTATGCACCTTTGGTGCAGGACTTCCATTGACTTCAGCTTCTTCTGAACTCCTCTTAAATGAGAACTTTTTTTCATTCTCTGAAGGCAATTCTACCTTCTTTGAAAGCTCTTCCAAGGTGTAGTTTCGCGTATTTTCTATCTTCTCATTGCAAGTACTGCACAGTTCTTGCTTGGGCTTACAGTTGTTGCATATGGTGTGACCGGTTAAACATTGCCAAATTGGAGGTGACATGTAGCTTTTGCATAAAGGACATTCTAGAAGTTGAAGGAATATCTTCTTCGCTTTTCGAATCAGCGCGTCCCTCATTTCGATTTTGTTTTCGTCTTTCACCTTTTCTTCTTTCAGTTTATCTAAAACAAATATAAGATATTGTCTAAGTGACATCATGCAAACAATGAAACCGTATGGCAAACGGCTCTAGAAATACACACAGTGGCTCCAAATATTCATTCAGACAGTCTACAATATACTTCCATGCACAGAGGACACACATAAAATGAGTACCATAAAAAGGTGACCAAAGTTCCAACCTATGATTCATTTGTGCAGATAGATCAAAGAAAAATGTCTGATTATTGTACATTATGGTTAACACTAGGTATCAATAAGCAAATACGTTCAAAAATTGCTTAGCTCGATGGTACAGAATAGTTTTTTTAGGCTTGTGTCTGTAGCAAGCTGAAATGATAGTGAATAGTGATGTTAACTCTGCAGCCATAATGTTAATGCACAATGTCATTATACTTTTCATCCAAACGTCGGGTTCACAGCAACCGCCCTAATAGTGGAAAGTCAACACCACACATTTATCTTCCGTATATGATGTGCGATAACGATAAAACGTTAGCAATACAAAATTGCGCGAAATATATTTTTGTCATACCTTCAACTTTCTCGTCAACACTGATAGCATAAGTCAATGACCCTGTGCCAAACATCTTCTTGATGCTATCTCTGTTAATCCTAGTGGTCATCCGCCTGGAAATGTCTTTCCTGTTATCTCGGTATGGATGGAACTTTGCTTTGCAATTTCCACTGGCACATTTAAAACAATGTTCACGTTCGCTGAATGAGATCACATTCTGGTTTGAGATGGTTATTGTGAAGTTGCACTTATCCGATTTTATTTTTACTTCATATTGGAGGTGGTTATCTGTTGGATCAGTTGACAGTACACTGAGACCTAGATCAAACAACAATTAGTAACTTATGATCACAGGTAAAAGAATGTAAAATACCATTTTTATATCGACATAATATGATTAGCTGTTTTTCTTGAGAAATCATCAAAAAATTGATTTAGTATGTAAAGTATAATATAATTAACATGAGAAGATTGTAAACCAAAACCACAATTACAGATATTATATAAATTATGAATCTCGATATAAATATGTGTAGTTAGGAATCATATTTTACTGAGGCACGTCATTAATATATAATAGGTAGGTAGGATCTGTATGGGGATGCTTGTTTTTAAACAAAACATTGGATATAGACAAACAGAGAATATGCTTCAGAGCAAGGACATGGCCTAAACTCAAAGAATTTATCTCTTTATGCCATCCTTTATACGCTGGCATTCAGGGGCGGCTGGCCCTTAAGTTCTGCAGAGCTGCAGATGTGTCAAAACTTTTGTCTTAACAGAAAAAAGCAGTAGTAATTTGATCATTATTTATTTTCCATGTTATCACACAAATAGAAACAAGACCGGCAACGCTGCCCCCCCAAGATACGGCGTCGAGTCTGTTTTGTATTGAGAAAGCATTATAATCGACCAATTGTGTACTTGTCATTTTCGTCGCGACCGCAGCGTAACATTATTCATGGGCCACTTGAAAAGGGTCTGTGCACTACTTCGACACAGGTCACACGCGCTTGCTTTTGTCTCTCTCTACAAAATCAAATGGGCGATTTAAGCATAAGCATGTGCTGCACGTTATACAGATCCGTACAGATCTAATGCGAAGTACGATATCTGATTGGTCGGTCGGTATAAAATTTTGGGGAGCATTTGAATTGGCGCTACGGGGCCACGACGAAACCGAGAGCTCCCAAAACCCGGGAATATTTCGTGGACTGATTAATTTTTCTGCTGAGCTTGATACAACCTAAAGCGAACACATAAAAAATGCTTCAATATTTAAAGGAACTTCGAAAGAAATACAAAAGGATCTACTGGATTGTATTCTTGAAGTCTGTCTTGAAGAAATAATAAAACAGATTAACAGAGCCTTGTATTTGGCCATAATAGCAGATGAAACAACGGACATTTCGGGGAAAATCCAACTGGTAACAATTTTCAGATACGTATTTAACGGCGAACCAGTAGAACGTTTTTGGAATCATATGAATTCAGAAACATGTGACGCTGATACTCTCACAAGACATATTTTGAGCGTCGTAGATCCATTAATAGGAAATTTCCCTAATAAACTGATTTCACAAAGTTATGATGTAACCGCGGCAATGAGCAGACATAATGCTGGAGTAAAGGCAAAAATTAAACAAAGATATCCCTTTCCTCACTATGTGCATTGCTATGCGCATCAGTTAAACTTGATTTTTTCATAAGCTGCTTCCGCAAATGCTCAAGTTCGGCCGTTCTTTGGGGATTTGAAAGATATTCCAGCATTTTTTAATAATTCTCCTCAATGCGTAGAGGTACTGATCAGAATTGTGGGGAAAAAATTCCCCACGGAGCAACAACTCGTTGGAATTTTAATATTCGAACAATAAATGTAGTGTTTGAGAACAGAGAATCACTCGTTGAATGCATGGAAGAAATAGGAGAAAATTTCACTAATGAAACCGTTTGCAAGGCAGCTTGCGGTATTTGCCGTATGTTAAACGATTCTGTTTTCGTGTTTTGGTTGACATTTTTTCATCATGTCATGCCTCACATCGACATTTTGTTCAACCAGTTGCAGAAGAGAAAAACCGAGCCAGCGCAACTTAAAATGGCTATCGATAATTTTGAAAAATGTATTGTCGATGTGAGAAATAAAATTGATGACATAATAAATGAAGCCAAAAGTATTTGCACTGAACCCCAGGGCAACAAAGGAGACGACGTAATAATAGCAGTCACGATCACCGAGTTGCCGCATTAGAAGTATGCGACAATATAGTGAATTCTGCAAATGACAGATTTCAATCCAAGGTCATTTGGTAGCCGCATCCCTTTTTTTCCCCGAACACTTTGGAGAATACTGTGGTAAGTTTCCTGATAACAAGTTGGAAACTACCTGCTTGGTTTATCCCGAATTATAAAAAAGTCGTTTAAATACAGAGTTGTCTGTTATTTATGCACAGAATAATTGCTGAGATTTACATCAAACTCTGCTCTTTTGAAATTTTTGATACAAAATAGTTTGGAGGAAACACTAAAAGAAACAGAAAAGCTATTACGAATTATTGTTACAACTCCTATGTCAACATCAGAGGCTGAGCGAAATTTCTCAACATTGAAAAGAATCAAGACTTTTCTTCGTAATACTATGACCCAGGATCACCTTAGAGCATTGTCGATGCTGTACATTGAAAGGAATTTATTTTGACCATGGAAAATTTCAACAGGAAGGTGATTGACAAATTTGCTGCCAAGAAGGTGCACAGGATCGAACTGACATATAAAAAATAGGTAAGTTCGGATTTGCAGAACACCTGTTTTATTTTGCCACGAGCCGCCACTGCTGGCATTATTAAATATATATTTTTTTAAACATAAATTTGTGACATTTTCTGACAAAAACATATGACTGAATTCAACAAAATGTATGGGCCCTGAAAGACTTTTGTACTATTCTAATATGCTAATAGTTCCAACTAATATAATAATTAAGTATAATGAATTAAGACAACTTTTATTTTTTTTAACCCTTAGATCAGGTTTTGATCTTTACTAGAAAGCACAAATTACTGCCAATAAGATGTTTAGAATTTGTTGCTGATGACATATTTTTCTTTCATAGAAGTATGGCAATGTTTGAAAAGCGGCGAATTTCTATACTGAGAAATAAAATCAAAAAAATTTAAGATTCATACAATTATAGTGATTGAAATGAACTCACCAAAATTAGCTTCATCAAAATCAAAAAACCCTATAAATGACTTCCCATCCTTCTCCAATACATCAATATTATAATAAGCATAAGCGTTTTTAATGTTGAAATAGCTTGTATGGAATGCATCATTATGCTTTTCCTTGAAATGTTGCCCCATCTTCAAGATTTTGATAGAATCTGTACAGCCTGATTTGGGGCAAATAGTGGTTCGCTGTTCACAGATTTCTCATGGTCCTTCACATCAACAAAAGGTATCTTTTTTCACATCCTTTATAGATACATGGGAACACCATCAACTTAGCCACACTTTCATAAATTGTGGCTCGGGTGTTGATGACAGTTTTAACGGCACTGCATCTGCCACACTTGTACTGTGAGCCATCATCAGATATTAAGGCGATAGGTGTTACAGAAAGGTAACAGTCGCACAAGGAACATTTTAGAGTTTCCGTTACTGAGTCTGGAGGGGTAAACATTCCGTCCATCATGCGAATAAAACCGCGTTGTGTAGCCCAATTAGACCAGGATTCTGAAAGAGGTAGAGCAGGTGAACTACAAATAGACTAGAGATCACTGCGAGTGAAAAAATTTGAAGTACTTACTTAGATTTTGGGTAATAAGGTTTTGGCCAAAAAACAAACGAAAACACCGATGAATATTGATTGCTTTGAGAAAGATAGGTTATTCCGGGTTATACTCTGACGCCACCAACGAATACCACAGATTGACATTGACAGAAATATGACAACAGATAACATTGGAGCGGTACGAACAGACAACACCGACATTAGCGTCTAAAGTCCCTCCCAGACATTGTGGTGCTGTTTGGATAAGTAAATCACCACTGCGATCACAGGATAAGCTAAGAACGTGGAAAAGGGAAATAATATTAGAGCAAAAGAATTGTATAAATGGGGCGTTTGGTGTGTGCAGGTAAATTTAAGTGAAATCAAGCACCAGAACAGGGTCGAAGCTACGGTTGAACTAGCCCTGGATGAAACAAAATTCGGCACCCTACTTAGCTGATGACAATTTACCAATGGGGCGTGGAGTAGGTGATTCTCGTTGATGATCTACAGATTGATTATCTTATTTGATCACAGATTCAGTTTAGGTAATGTTTCGATGCTAACATGGTGATTGCGACCGAATCCATAGATTTTAATATTTAAGGCACCCTGAAATACGTGTAATTTTCTAAACTCCCACTTTTTTTTGTCAAAAAGATACACGTCTGTGACGGCCTTAATCACGCTTTAACAACATATCGTTCAAACGAGGCGCCGTTGCCGGCTCGAAAATCTGTAAGGGAGGCTTAGAAACCACGCAGTTGTCATCTTGGGATACGCATAAAACCATAGAACATAATTATTTGACAAGTGAGCTGACAGCAAACGTATAATTTTTAGGTTCTGCGTAGGGTTATGTGATGTCTGTGTACCAAATATTTTATATCGTCTAAAAATTATAGGTTTTTTCAGTACTGCTACTTTGCGATTGTGTAAAAAATAAGCTCGGTGTGAAAGAGAAAGGACAATGAGGCTATAACACGTGTATTATTGTATCATATCTACAGTATCAGTATTTTTCATCTGAACCAAAATAAGTTTGAACAAAAATGATGGAGGTTCCTGAGCATGGTTATGCTTTCAATGACAATTCTATGGAAGTAGACCCACTGGCACTAGTAGATACAGCAATAAAAACGGAAATTAAAGAAGATCCTGACCAGCTCCCAGAAAATACTGTACAACATGAACTTTTACAGCATGGGGAGCAAAGTGAAGACTACCATGGGATTAAAGTTGAAGAAATGGATGAGTCTCATTTTCATATTGCCAGTAACTCTGATTTACCCAGTATACATGATGTAGGATCTGCACAGTTAGATGCTTCTGACAATTCTGTAGTATCTTCATCAGTTGTTAGAGGATTGCAAAATGATTATCAGGTATTTTTTCATTCATGGTAACATAATAATTTATTTTTCTGTATTAGCTCTATAAATATGAATTCATGAATCTCTAACATAACATTCACATCTAGCATGGGCGTCACCAGAAAAGAAAATATGGCATGCCATAAAGTCATTTTCAATGACATGATTACGACATATCAGTAGGACGAATGAAGTGCAGGGTTGCCAGATGGATCGAACAGAATTCCCCCAGAACAAGCACAAAAATCCCTCAGATTTGAAATTTTGGGAGGTGAATAAAATAAAAACTATATTTTCCAGCGAATTGAAACTATTTCAAACTTGTTAGAACAAATTGTTTATTGAGTTACGATTGCGCATACACGTAGAACGATACACGCATTCGTTGTCCCTTTGGCATTTGGGGATTGGGAGCAATCAGTGCAATGTCACGTCTAGTTCTATCTCTCGAAACACGCCTGTGAGACAAAGCTAAAATCGCTCCCACACGATGTGGCAAATGCCTTACAACGTTGGACTCACGGCCATTCGCCACATCGCGTGGGAGAGCGCTGACAGATTGCGTGGGTCCAACGTTTTCCACATGGCACGTTGGGGCTCTTGTAAATTTGACCCGCGTCAAAGTACGGTACAACGTTGGAAGCATGGTTCGTTACGCTTTCACAAGAGATGTCATGTGTTTGATGGTTTTATTTTAGAAACAGTAGCGGCGAAAAATATTATTTACTTGTTTGCTGTGATTGCAGTGAAATATTTTGATTTGAATACCTACCTATTCATAATAATGTATGTTACGTAACTAACTTTTGAGGAGAATGAATTAAATTAGTATACATACGAAGCATAGACGCCATAAAAACACTTTTTTCATATTGCTAATATTTTGTATGTTTCGCAGGTAACTTATGGCTGGCCTAAGGATATGTATTTTAGTAAATTATAAATTATCAAGTGCTTACAGTTGTTTCTTTATGTCATGTTGCAATGCAAGGACTAGTTGAAAAACATATTTCATAACTAACGAAAACGATTAAATAAATGATAACTCTGAAAGTACTAGCGGGATTTTGATGAAATTTGACCCTAGGTTACTACTATGAAAATGACGAAAAAACTGTACAGTTTTTGAATATCGGTAAAGTGGCGGCAGAGTTATCGTCGAAAAATAAACAAAAATGGTCAAACACGGCGTATACAACGTTTGAAGCATCGTGTGGGACCCGCATAAATCAATCTACATCACACAACTTATTCTGTTTCACTCAGTTCTATAACTATGGATGCATATCTACCGACCTAAAATTGCAGAGAAAGGTCAGCGTAGATGTTTTGTGGAGATGGGTGGGGCATGGGGAAAGAGAAAACTACAGAAAGAGAAAATTGTTATTTAGCAGTTGACAGTTTTTCGTAGTTAAAGATGGAATAAAACATTTTATCCCCCCCCAAAAATTTCCCAAGGGACGTAAAAATACCCCAAATTTGGGGAAAATCTCCTAATATGGCAACCCTGATGAAGTGTCCCAAAATATGTTTTTAGTGTCTGTGATGCCAGTGGCAAACAACGACATCTATTTGGAACACCATGATATGCTTTTTCTGTTTTTTCTTTTGTAATGATTAACATACAGGCTCCAAGAAAATGTCCTAGTCATATACTGTATTTGGGTGATCTTAAACCATTTCCATCTTTACAGCCATCTTGAAAAGTAAGGAAACGTGGTCTGAGAAGGCATAGATTTTGAAAGGTCATTGTTTTGAAATATATAGCAATTCTATAGCAAAGAATACCTTATTATTAACAAATAAATCTATAAATTCAACATAAATTATAATATCTTCGAAAAATGATCAAAAATAGAACTAAACCCATCTCACCCAATCCCTATGGGTACTAATAGCACTCGCATGATCCGCTCAGATCGTGGGCAGAGCAAACTAAACATGCTGTTTATGATCTTTGTGAGTAGGTTTATTTGCAGCTATCACAAATAACCTGTCAAGTTGTTTTCGGTAGTCATGTACATTCCATTTCTGCGTGACCCCACTGACGGCAACCTTGCATTGCAGTCAAGGGAGCCTCGGTAGTTCGGTAGTTAGCACGTCAACCTAGCAACCCGGGGCTTGCGGGTTCGAATCTCCGCCTCGGGGGTTCGAATCTCCGCCTCGGGGGTTCGAATCTCCGCCTCGGAAGTTTATTCCTTGGTATGGGTGTTATGTGTTTTGTCTATATCGGCAAAAATGGTCAAAGGTGCCCTAGTTGTCAGGGTTCGCCTCCCCACCACCACTGAAATGAGAATAGTTCCAGTCTCAATGCAGAAAATTCCATTTGGAACTTCAACCTCCAAATGAATCTGTTTCTCGTCATTAGAATTTGCCAATACGATTCATTTTTGAACTTGTCGAGAGACTGAGAGCTCAGGCACAGAAGAATCGACAAGGTCATTTGTCTGTGACATTTGAAGGGCCATATATCCACTCTGGGAAAATGTTATCATTTAAAAGGAAATACCACTCGCAGCAAATCTATATTGACCATTGATTATTGTGGCCGCTCGACAATAAACCTGCTTGAAAAGCTCAACAACTTGGACATGTGTGATAGTTCGTCATTCGTCCTGGATGGTTTATTAACCACTTGTACAAATCTTGATTGAAGAACACATATTGTTTTCATTCCAGACCTGTCTAGCTGATTCTTTGTTGTATGACGCCATCCCAAAATGAAAAAGGCACATTTTAGATCACAATCCTCGCGGAAATTGCAGGTGTAAAATAATATGAATG